GAATAAAAGAATCTAGTCATGATGATAGTTCGTGCACAGATGTGATACTGATACTGCTTAAGTATAAACAGCTTCATGCAACTAAACAAAAGAAATGTTATGGTAATACCAAACTGCTTTGAATTTGTAAAGCAAATCAAAACATCTTCACTTCACTAACATCAATCACTATGTTTTAGATAAAGTATTTACTGATTATTTTTCGCTGTTTATTGTTTTGTTGTGTTTCTAACATAACTTCTTCAAACCCACCCAGTAAATGAACTGCAGGCGCTCTCAGATGACTGTCGTTACCTGGTCCTGTTGGCAAAGATCCAAAATAAGGTTGACAAAAATGAGGAAGCTTTGCTTTCCCTACAAAGAGTAAGTGTTTACAGTTATGTGAAAAATCTGAGTTTGTTAACCTTGAGATCAGGGAAACTCTGGATTTTCAGTTCCAGAAAGAGAGGTAGCTTAAACTCTGGGTCAGTTACCATATGAGTTTCTGTCTGTCTCCTCCATCTTAAAAAGCAAGACAAGCTGTTTGTTTAGTCATTGATTCAGTCTGTGTCAAAGCGCATTAATTAGCAGAGGTTTACTGTGTGTCACAATCAAAATCCTTTTTGGATATTAGTTTGTAACTCAGGACTATCTAAAGTTACCACTTTGATGAGCTGTCAGTTTGCCCTCAGTCAAATATTACACAGCATTCACCCTCAGCTCAGAATAAAACCTCTGCATGTCCTTTTTACAAGTTTAATGGGGTTTTTTACAACGCTGTTACTCACACAAGACAGATGTCACTTTGTTATAGCAGTTCCACTAAAATGTTTATAGCACATCATGTGTAATCTCAGTTTAAATGGTAAAAATCCATACAAAGCTTTAGACATCTAGGATCAATGAATAATTATTACTTAAGGTGTGAAAGATGGTCGCACTGATGGAACATCATTTCTATAATACTATATTTCTGAGTGAGCAAGATTGTGACGTATGAATACAATTTTAAAGTTTTAAACAGGCTGCATGTAGTCTGAATTTATTTTAACTTAAGGCCCTTTTTTTTTTTAGATAAATGTGCACCGTCCACACATACATGCATTAACAGCTCTGTGCCTACTGGATTGAAATGGAGGCTTTGTCTTTTATTTACATGTTGTCAGGGGGAATTGTAGTATCCGAGCTCCACAAATGGCTTTTTTTCATTCAGTGCGCAAGAGTGAATGTACGATCAGCTGTTCTGTTTCCCATCTCTAGGTTAGTCAACTCAGAAACCTGCTTTTTGAAACAGGACCTTTGTCATCTTTTCACATTTTGTATCAAATATTTTTCAGCAAAACCTACTGGTCAGCCTAAAAAGACCGTCAGAGTAGCATAAAGTAACGCAATCTATTTTGAATTTCAATATTCTTAATCTTGTTCCTACAGAGATGGTAAGGATGATGCTTGTTATTGTTGTATTATTTATAATGAGGTTGTGTTTTCGCTGCATATAGGCCAGGGATGTGCAGGCCAAGGTGCTGAAGCGGGTGCAGTTGGAGCAGCCTGACGCCGTCCCCATGCAGAAGCAGCTTGCTGCTGAGATCTGCGCTGAGATCGCTAAACACTACACAAGTCAGAGGGGCTATGAGAGAGCGGTCAAATTCTACAAAGAAGCTCTTGTGTATTGTGAGACGGATCGCAAGGTCAGTGCAGCTGAATCAAAAACGTCCTGTGTACTCACTGCAGCTGTGGTTAACAAGCACTGGCATCTTTTCTGGTTTGGTGCTTGTGTTTTTTTTTTTTTAATTTTGTGATCTTAGTTGTTAATAGATTTAAGTCTGATTTATCTACATTATTCCACCAAAAGTGTTGTCACATAAATTCAATTAAATTCATTCCCTGTGCCTAGGTGATGCTGGAGTTGGCTCGGTTGTACCTTACTCTAGATGAGGTTGATGCGTGCCAGGAGCAGTGCAGCGTCATTTTGAAAAATGACCAGTGCAACGAAGATGCAACTCTGGTTTGTTCTGGCTGTCTTTTGCCACAGTTTTGATCATAATGTTTATTTGGAACTAATTTATAGACAGTTATTTCTTTGATATTTTTGTCCTTAGATGATGGCTGACATTATGTTCAGGAAGCAGGACTATGAACAGGCAGTTTTCCACTTTCAACAACTCCTGGAGCGCAAACCAGGTGCCAGACAACCACGTTTAACATTTTCTTGTGGTGAATGTAAATGTGATTTGATGATTTGACCTTCTCTAAACGGAAAGCATAATAAGTTACACCTGTTCCTTTCAGACAACTACCCAACATTGTCACGTCTTATTGACCTATTGAGGCGGGCCGGGAAGTTGGAAGAAGTTCCCAGATTTATTGATATGGCAGAAAAACATTCTTCCAGGACGAGGTTTGACCCTGGGTTCAACTATTGCAAGGGACTTTATCTTTGGTAAGTTTGGAAAAGCATTTCCTCGGGATTATAGCAACATCTGTTTTAAGATTTGTGACTTAACGTGTGCTTGCTGCTCAGGTTCACAGGAGAACCTAATGATGCCCTGCGACACTTTAACAAAGCACGGAAAGACAATGATTGGGGTCAAAACGCAGTGTATAACATGATTGAAATCTACCTAAACCCTGACAATGACACCATTGGAGGAGAAGTATTTGAGAATTTAGATGGTGAAATCGGGTGAGTAGCAGTGTGACTATACTAAGACTGTAGACTATACAGTATATATTTTATTGTTGGAAAACCACCAGACTTCTAATGCTCACCTTTTGATCTCTCATCAGGAACTCCACAGAGAAGCAGGAGTCGGAGCAGGTCGCTGTGAGAACAGCCGAGAAGCTGCTGAAGGAGTTAAAGCCTCAGACAGCGGGTGGACACACACAGCTCCGTATCCTGGAGAACTACTGCTTTCTGGCCACTAAGCAGAAGACCAATGTAGAGAAAGCCCTCAGTGTTTTCACAGAGATTGCAAACAATGAGGTAAGTAAACTCCAGATGGTGCGCATGAGTTACATCACTCTTGTGTAAATATACCCACACCAGGAGATGTGCATTATTTCAGGCTCTCTCTTAATGTCAGTCATTCCATTTAGTTATAAACTGCATCGATCAGGCTGAATTAAAACAGAATGTATACAGTTTATATCATTGATTGTATGCTAAATTTTATTTGGTAAATTTTATGATTTAACTTCCTGTACTAAAGTGAAGTCTGTGTGTTTTGGTGTGAACACATGGAAGCGGTTGGGGGGGGGTCTTGTCAGGTTTATCTTGTCTAACCAGGAATCTCCGGTTGAATTCAGAAAGACCACGTGCCGGCACTGTTGGCCATGGCAACTGCTTATATGATGCTAAAACAAACTCCTCGCGCCAGGAACCAGCTCAAACGCATAGCTAAGATGAACTGGAGCATTGTTGACGCCGACGAGTTTGAGAAGAGCTGGCTGCTCTTGGCAGACATCTACATCCATTCGGGGAAGTATGACATGGCTGGGGACCTCTTAAAGAGATGCCTCAATCATAACAAGGTCAGCCTGAAAATATTGTCACTGATTGAATATTATGTGGTTAACAAGGCAGTCCCATTCACACAAAACAGCTTTCCCCTTATTTTGGAGATTTGTGCTGCTTTCTAATGTGGTGGCCATCTTTTATGGTAATTTCTTTGTGAAAACAATTTCCATTTTTTCCACAGTCATGCTGTAAGGCTTATGAATATATGGGCTACATAATGGAAAAAGAACAGGCATTCCGTGATGCAGCACTTAACTATGAACTGGCTTGGAAATATGGAAATCGGACTAACCCAACGATTGGTATGTCATCCAAAATTACATGTCCAGTTCAATTTATAAGGAGACTGAGATATATTTCTAACATGTTGTGCTGGTTATTATTTCAGGATACAAGCTTGCCTTCAACTACTTAAAAGCAAAGAGGCATGTTGATGCCATAGACGTGTGTCATAAGGTGAGACACCTGTGGATGTTTACAGTTTGCAGTGAGAGATTAGATCTGTTCTTTCCCTGGAATTAATCGTTGCTTCTTGTCCACAGGTTCTGGTTGCTCATCCAAATTATCCAAGAATGAGAAAGGACATCCTGGACAAAGCTCGTGCAGCACTGAGATCTTAGTGTTGGAACTGTGTGTGAGTGTGAGAGAGTGAGAGTGAGAGATGAAGCCAATATTTCTGTTGCTTTTATTGAATCCACTTTTATTATTTGGCTTTTACTGTCAAGTTAAAAGAATGTGTTTTTTTAATATTATTATTTCTTTGGGAAAACCCCCTAAACACGTTGCTATGTAAATTTTTTTGAGTATATGAATAGTTGGGTGCTGGCAATCCTGAGGGAAATCACAGTGCAGAGGGGTTCAGACATGTGCAGACATTTTTTTTCTTTCTTTCCTCACTAAGCCAAAAAAGCATAAAAGGATAGAAAATATGTGGATCTTGCAGAACAGCAGTGTCTAAACTCATAATTTAAGTTTTATTATTCAGAAATTGAAACGTGCTCCCCTTTCTGTTAGACATCTGTTTATTTGAGACACGACATATTCATATTGTATTTGATATAATTCCCTACTGTTCATTTATATGAAGATCAATATTGAAAACGTTTTATCTTGTGGTGAATATTATCAGGAAGCAGATAAATGCCTATATTTGTAATACTGAAAAGCTTATATTTAAAAATAAAACGATTTAGATATGTCAAAGGGGGCTGATTTCTTTTCTTTCTTACGGATTTATTTCATGCATCAATAAGCATATGTGCCCCCACTCCCCTCCCCGATTAAGACATTTGACATCATCAATATCCCCAAACACAACTGCCACATAGACAAACATTTACGAGCTTGACTGGGGAAAAAAAATGTAGGACGGACAGTGAACATTTTAATGGACATAATAAACTGGATGCCTGCCGTGGATAGGAAGTGCCGGGGAACACAGTCACTACAGATGGAGTCACTGTGCAAGTCAAAGGCAGAAAGACTTCAAACTGGGCACCAGAGCAGGCTCCCTGCGGCTGGAATCCGCGTCTTTACTCCTTCAAGCATCCAACTCTTTATGAAGACCATCCGCTGAGAGGGGGGGAAACCTGGGAGATTCAAGGATTTTGATCAACTGCAGAGTCCGCCGGTGAGTGTCAGCTTTTTACAACTTTTACCAACGAAAGCTCAGATGTGATTAATTATCAAGGCAGATTCGCGTCCATGCGAAAGGACGCGTAACTTTGTTTTAAAAGCACGCTGGACCATGTGGGTTGTTAGTTTCTCAGTAAGTGCCATTCGTTCAGTTTTAAAAGATGTTTTTTGTCGGAGGAGCTGATTGGATGCGGTGGGCTGTGTGTGGGGCATAGCGCGTTCCTCCGTTATTTGTAACCCAGCAACTGTCCCAGTGACTGACCAGTTGAACAAATCCTATTAATGACACCATTATTGAATCTGAGGGACTCCGTAGAGAACACAGTCTGCAATATTCCTGAGCACAACGTGGCTTCAGACCACTTTTTAGGAGGTTTGTCTCGAGAAATGTTAGATTATATTGTGATTTTGTCTAATTATGTTTATATATATATATATTAGAAGATAAGTTAAGCTACAAGTCTTGTCACACTTTTTTTTGTCGGGGTCGTCTTTTGTTAACGCTTGCTTTATCTCACCTGTAATCCAGGCATGGAATGGAGCTTGACACGCAGAAGTCCTCTCTGCGCAAGCGCGCCAGCCCGTCTCCTCCCTCTACCTGAGAGGAGCGCACCTGGATCCAACGAGACGGAAGTTTAGCCAAGGCAGAGAAGGCAAAGAAGGCAGATCAAATCTTTTTGTCTGCGAAAAGTTTCTTCGGAGTTCAAGCGAGCATACAGAGAATCTCCAGTCGAAGCAGGATGCCATTCGTTGGATCTTACAAGAACAATTTAGAGTGCTTTTTTAACCTAAATCTGTCGTTCAGCGACTCATGGTACGTGGTCTTTTTCTTCTCTGAGGGAATCCAGAGCTGTGGTTGTTTTCTGATTTCAAAAACAGATTTTCAATATGGGATTTGTAGATAGGAGCAGACTTGACTTCCATAGAAACTGCTACATACACACAAGATTTCTTCTGTTTAAAACACAAAAAGTAAAAAAACAAAAAAACAACTTACAATACAATACAAAGATGTTAGTGTAGTGTCATGTCTCTGTGTTGCCTGTGTTTTTTTCTGAATCCTCAATATCTTAAATGTGATAATCATCTGGTTAATCATCATTAAGCATATGTGTGTTTGTTACAGCTGAATCCCAGTCTAAAGTCAACCTGCTCTCCATTCAAGAAGAATGGCATCTCTCCGCAGAGTGCTCCGAAGGCGACTGCACCCACTTAAGTTGGCGATAGTGGCCCTTGTCTTTGTCACATTTGTGTTCTTCATACAATGGGAAGTGGGAAGCCAAAGCCAGCAGGAGGACCCGTGGCTGAAGGAGATGGCAGTGAAGCGGGACACCATGCTGGGCATGGTGATGGGAGCTGTCAATAACTTCAGGGATGCGATGCCAAAGATGCAGATCAAAGCCCCTGTACGTAAGCAGGACAGTGCAGACGGCGTGTCCTGTCTGCCAGGCCACTACACTGCTGCTGAGCTCAGGCCAGCTCTGGAGCGGCCACCTCAGAACCCCCTGGCTCCTGGAGCAGCTGGAAAACCTTTCCACACGGACTCACTGAGCCCCGAAGAGCAGAAGGAGAAGGAGAGGGGTGAAGAGAAACACTGCTTTAACCTGTATGCCAGTGATCGTGTCTCCTTGAGCAGAGACCTGGGCGCAGACACAAGACCGCCAGAGTATGTCACTTTCTACCATCTTTATGCTTCTGTTAAAGCTGTTCCTCAAGCTTACCTTATTTTTCACTGAAAGTGTGCAAGAAATCTCTAGAGTAGCATGGTATTAGTGAATATAGTTGACCAAATTCACTCAATTCATTTTCCAAAGGATTTTGATGTAGAAACAACATGTAATTGCACCACCTAGTGGGTACAAATGCAGCTTTAGTGCTGTACAAAAAGTACTCTACTTTTCTTATTACTGCTCCATTAATATGTACTGGCACCGAATATAACTTAACACACTGAAAAACACCCACACAGATTAGTGTAATATAAATGGGGTAATGCAAAACTGATGCTGACTCTAACCCCACACACACATTCATGATATTTGCTTTTTGCAACTGATCTAAGACAGAAACCACAGAGATGATTGTTCTGACTTGGGACATTGTTTCAGCATGCCTGCCCAGTTAATGTGGCCAGTTTAGGGAGAAGCTCAGTTATGTTTGGCTAATTACAGTACATCCAACTGCATGTGAGTCCAAGTTAATGTCAGTACATAGTCAGTACGTGACACAGACATAAAGCCCCAGCCCATGTACTGGCCATCTTACTGGGGTGAATTGCAGAGTCTCTCCCACTCGGCTATGGCAGGTATTTCAAAGGCTGCCACACATGCGGTGTCACAGCTGAAATGGACACCCCCACAAGGGAGAGTCTGCAGATGTAATAACTACGCTATTGTGCCACTCAGGAACTGTATAGGACAGTCAGATCTTTGTGCTCTTTTTCCTTCTTGCTACAGATGTATTGAGAAAACCTTCAAGCGATGTCCCCCTTTGCCGACCACCAGCGTGATAATTGTGTTTCACAATGAGGCTTGGAGCACTCTGCTGAGGACAGTATACAGTGTCCTCCACACCTCCCCTGCTATTCTCCTCAAGGAGATCATCCTGGTGGACGATGCCAGCGTGGATGGTAAAATTCAAAAGGGCCCTTCAGGACCGCCCTGCTCTCTTTTGGGTTCGATTTCATGCAGCATGTTGGGTGGGCAGCTCAGAGAGGAGCTGCTCCTGCTCCGTCTGTGGCCCATGAAGTGGGTTACAACAGGAAGTGAAGGGGCTGCTAGTGAATACTTTCCTAGGAGGAGTCTGCAGTGGTTGTGCTTAGAAGTGAATCAGCGTTAGCTCTTGTAAATAGGTCTGATTTCCTCATCAGAAAACAAACTGCTGGAGAGGAGAGAGGTTTCAGACAATGCAGTCCATCTGATCCTGAAACAAAAAAGTTATTTGTTGGTAGCAGGCCACAGATGGAGGCCTGCTGTACAACAGCTCTCCTGAAAGCCAGCCATGTTGAAGATAAATGGAAGACAGCTTTCTCCTTTTTCATCTGTTTGAGTCTTACCTTCCAGGCTGAGGCCTGTTAATGTTATCTATTTATCACTTTAGTAATAATTGAGTCCTTATGAGACAAGAATCTCTCATATATTATATTATCAGATGTTTTCATAATGTGTCTAATGGACATCCCATACTTTCAGATGTGTTGAAGGACGAGCTGGATGAGTATTTGAAGCAGCTGAACATTGTCCGTGTTGTCCGCCAGCGTGAAAGGAAAGGGCTCATCACCGCTCGGCTGCTGGGGGCCTCCGTTGCCACCGGTGACACGCTCACCTTTCTGGACGCCCACTGTTAGTCAACACCACTGACATTACTCACAGATTAAAATCAGTTGCATGTTTGACACACCCATACTGACACACCCACAGCTCAGCAACCTAATGTTTGCTTTTCTTTAAAGCCTCAGCATGGCTTTACATTCCAAAATTAAACATTCAGTGGTCATTGTTAAGAAAGATGTTGTGATGTAATGTCTGCGTGTGATACAATGTAATTATGTCTGTTGACAGGCGAATGCTTCAATGGATGGCTGGAGCCGCTGCTTGCCAGGATAGCAGAGAACTACACTGCAGTAGTGAGTCCTGATATAACCACGATTGATCTCAATACTTTTGAGTTCATGAAACCATCCCCATATGGCCAGAACCACAACCGGGGAAACTTTGACTGGAGCCTTTCCTTTGGCTGGGAGAGTCTACCAGATCATGAGAAACAAAGGAGGAAGGATGAAACATACCCTATCAAGTAATGCTTGATTTATAGAATATGAATAAACTCTTGTTTCTCGTTGGAAATCATTAAAAACCTTTTTAATGTAATTTCTTTATAGGACTCCCACATTTGCTGGTGGGCTCTTCTCCATCTCAAAAGATTATTTCTACCATATTGGAAGCTATGACGAAGAAATGGAGATCTGGGGTGGTGAGAACATCGAAATGTCATTTAGGGTAAGACGTCACTAAGCTGTCATTCTGAAGGTGCAGCAGTTTTGTTATTCGTTATTGACCCGTTTTACCTGTTGAATCATTCCATTATCCAAATGACTGCATAGGCGTGTTAACTGCATGTCATTGTGCATCTGGTTTTACGCTGTCTCCCATTAACCTGCAGGTGTGGCAGTGCGGCGGACAGCTGGAGATCATCCCTTGCTCCATTGTTGGTCATGTTTTCCGCACCAAGAGCCCCCACACCTTTCCCAAGGGTACACAAGTGATCGCTCGTAACCAGGTGCGCCTAGCGGAGGTCTGGATGGACGACTACAAAGAGATCTTTTACCGTCGTAACCTGCAAGCCGCACAGTTGGCAAAAGATGTACGTACTGCTCCTGGCTCTAATGCGCCTCTGACATCCTGTGCAACTATCCTGTGATCCTTTTCAAATGCAGCAAATTGCTCTGCAGCTTTGTCTTTCACTTCTGCTTCTCATGGTTATATGTAAGTGGTTTTTAAGATTAGATCCAAGACGTGTTTGAGCAAATCCAACTGCTGTCTGTGAATTACATACAACCAGCATTAAGTCTGATCATGACTTACTTAACATACTCTGCAGGGGAAAGCATAGCATTTCACTGTTGTAATTCTCAATGCATGAATTACTATAGAAATGAAAACCCATTCTTTGAAATGGAGTGAAATAGATTAGGGGCTGTTAGAGGCTGTTAAGCGACAGAGGAAAAAGGGGCCTGAAGGAAGTCAGCTCTGGTAAATGACAGGCTCTCAGCGTTTCCCAACATGTGGTCCCGTAGGTGCCATAAACAGTTCCCTCGGGGCTATACCTCACAGAGCGGGCCAGCCCTTTCGCGCTGGCTTCAAACAGACACGCCGTCTTCAACAGCTTCAAGGAATCCGCCTTAGTAGCTCTCAGTGTGCACTAGTGTGAGCGGCATCCTCGTCATTATAGTAAGTGCTCTCATTATTCAAGAGCATGACTGCGCTTCAGTTTATGAGGAACCATGATCAAATACTTGTGTGTAGTTTATTTGTTCAACAAAGGAGTCATTAGAGTACTGGAACACAGTCATTGACTTTATAAAGTAAAGTGGTGATGATATTCAAAGTAAAAAAAAGTATTCCACTCTTAGCATCATTCATGTCATTAGATGACAGTTCAGAGTGTGGCTCTACTTATGGCAGTGTAGGCAGTACGTCCACCATATTGGTCCAGACTGAAATATCTCAAATGTTGGATGAAATTTGGTACAGATGGTCATGGAGCCCAGAAGATGAATCCCAATGACTCTGGCGATCCCCTGACTTTTCTGTTAGGTTGACATTTTTGTTTTTTATTTAAATTCATCAACAACTATTGGATGGGTTGCCATTAAATTTAGTGCAGCCATCACACCAACCCCTTAGGATGAACTGTAATAACTTTGGTTGTCCCTTTGCTTTTCCTGTTGTGCCACTACAGTGTTTCCTCTAGGATTTTTTTTAGCAGTTGGGGCAGGCCCGTCCGAACACCACGCTCCCCGTCCCATCACGCCAGCAAACGTTTCACGTATGAAACAGAAGTGACACTTCGCTGTGACACAAACAAATATATTTACCGTTTTAATGTTTCCAGATGTTTGATATCAGGACGTTGAGCTGAGAACTGACAAGTTGAACATTGTCCAATTAAAACTGATCCACCGCGGTAACGTTTTTGGTGGAGCTGTTAGTTTAATAGTCGACTTGGAAGAAAGCGAACGTTTTGACAATAAGCTACATCAACACAACAGTATGTGGAGTTAAACTGGACAGCCCCAATAACCTCTGAATAGTTCTACTTGTTAAATTGCAATGTGAGTGGCAGCAAACGGGGGTGAATTAAGTCCGCAGGATCATTTAAAAGGCAACCGTGACTACATTGTGTGACTACATTGTGCGTCTGCCCCAATTCTGATACCGTGGCGGCAGAAATTTAACAGCGGCGGGCCGCCGCTCCAAAATCAACATAGAGGAAACACTGCACTATCACGTAAAATTGACTTTGTCTAGTACTTCGGTTTATAATCACCTGCAAAACTAAGAACCTCCCCACCGGCCTCAGCTGTACTTTGAGTTAAGAGCTTATTAGGAAATTATACCAAGATGATGAACATGAACAACTTTCTATGTTCTTAGCATCAGCCTTGAGAGCATTTTAGCTTGCTGACATTAGCTCTAAAAATCCCTTTGCTTTAATACGCCTTTTCTGTTTTTATTTGCTTGTATTCTCACACACTCAAGCTCTCCATTGTTCTTGCATTTCAGTTTGGATGGCAATTGTGTTTACCTTTTTCAACACACAAACTGCACTTCCAGATTCACATTATTCAAAACACTACTTCACAACTTTTTCCTAAGTGACATTATTCTATACCTGCATGTTCTATCTGGAGTCAAGAGCATCGTTACTTTGTAGTACTTTATAGATGCAAAATTATCCAGTATCCAGTGTGCTGACGAACAATGCTTCGCTCTTCTGCCTGACATTATTTTAACAGAGGGCCTTTGGAGATATCTCCAAACGCGTGGACCTCCGTGCGCGGCTGCAGTGCAAGAGCTTCTCGTGGTATTTGAAGAACGTTTATCCAGAAGTCTTCATGCCTGATCTCAACCCACTCCGCTTTGGCTCAGTAAGATCACACACCCCACCACCAGCTCTCCTCTTTCCAAACCTCAGAGCTCTGTCTAGCCACTGTGGGTTTCCACTTAGGATCTCCAGAGGGCACTGAGCAGTTCCAATTTGACACCACTGAAAGTACTCCAGAGACTAAAGTTGTTTGAACAGCTTGCACTGGATGTTAGTTTTTCATTTTGTTTCCTTTCACTACTTTCCCCTTCCCTCCTCTTTCTCTGTAGGTGAAAAATGTCGGCAAAGACTCCTGTCTGGATGCTGGAGAGAACAACGAGGGTGGGAAACAGCTGATCATGTACCCATGTCATGGACTAGGAGGAAACCAGGTCAGTTAGAAAGTGTGACTCCTATCTCTGATTAACAAAAATGATTCTCTTTAATCACAGTGGTTGACGGCCTTTTTTTTCTCTCTCCTTTGCTGTAGTATTTCGAGTACTCCACACGTCATGAGATTAGACACAACATTCAGAAGGAGCTATGTTTGCACGGTGCAGAGGGGCCTGTGAAGCTGGAGGACTGCCAGTATAAAGGCAGGAACACATTTGTAGGAGCGGAGCAGAAATGGGAACTGAAGGACGTGAGTTTGGTCTTTTGCTTTTTATGGGCACTCATTTGTGATTTCAGATACTTGGGTTTTTTCTTTTCAGGAAAGTCATAGTTTTTTTAATCTTCTCTTCGTACAGAACCAGTTATTCTACATCCCTGGACGGAACCTGTGTCTGAGCGCCCGGCACGACCATCCTACTCTGGCCCCCTGCAACCCCTCTGACAGATACCAGCTCTGGTCCTTCGTCTGAGTTGTGCAAACTACCGCGTTACAAAATAGCCATTCTGTATGCATAGGCATACTAGGAAATGAGTATACTATACTGTATGCAGTTAACATGCAGTTTGTTTTGTTTCAGATTAATGACATTGAGTTTTAATTTATTTTTATACGTAGAAGAACTGAACTGCTGCTGCTGGGAAGTTGGACTTTGGGAGAAACCACAGAGTGCCACTGCTGGAAGGAAGCATTGACACAATGCTCCCAATCAGACTGTGAACTGAGATTTTTGGAATAATGAAGATGCACTGTGTTTCCAAGTGCCTCCTTTGTGTTTGAGGTGTTTTCACTACTCCAAGTCTTCACAACCAACACATGCAGTATTAGGTACATAAAGCAAACACTGAACATTTTTCTAGTGAGGCGTGAATCTAAAACAAAATCATACAAAAAAAAAAGACAGTCGATCATTATAAACAAGAGGTTTAAGTTGGACACACAAAAATCTCAAATGTTTATGCACCAAAGAGACTGAAAGTGAAAATCTGAAACACACAAGTATGATGTGCATTTTTCCTTTTTAATAATGCAAAACCTCTTATTTTGCTACCGTCCAGTGCCTTAGATGTAATTTTCTACTGGGTGGGTGGAGTGGTGGAGGGATGGGGTGGTGGGGTCGTTGCAGTGTTCTGATGCAGAATAATGGATTTTACATAGTTGTGATCGAAAGGGTCTTCAGATCAAGTGGATATGCTTTAATTAAATTATTTAATAGGGTCATTATCTTTTTTGTCTTTAAACCTCAAAAGTATTTTATTTCTATACCCTTGGCTGCCAGTTTATTAGGTGCGCCGAGCTAAAGCTAATGCAGTCTAATCCAACAGTCCTGCAGTAAATCCTACCTTCATGAAGGTTATAATGTTCATTTTTTGTTTGGACCCATTTTAGAGAGGTGTTGATTCAACTTTATGGGCATTTTTGAGGCTGTAGTTTGTGAAGATGTTAAAGAGGTGTTTCTAAAAATTATGTCCAACCCATTTATATCAATGAGAGTAGAGTAAATAATAGAAACACCTCAACTGCAACAAAATACAACACAACACAACAGCAGAAACTGGATATTATAATCTTGATGAAGGGGTACTGTTGTATTAAACCATATTAGTTTTAGTTAGATGTACCTAATATACAGGCAACTGAGTGTAGAGACATGAACAATAATTTGAATACCAGTTTGGACCTGCTGGTGAGCTGGCCCTTAAACATGAATTACATACAATTAGTTTGTTCATGACAAAAGTGAAATTGACATTATTGATTAAAAGGCATTTTATTTGACCTACAGTCAATGTTTAATTGACAACATGCATGCAGTCAAATGTCATGACTGACTTTTAATATCGTTCTCTTCTTTTTAATTGCGGCTGTGTTTACCTGTGGGATATTATTTCACTTGTCATGCTTTGGTGTTTATCAAAGGGGAACTTTTAATATAACAGGAATGCACCGAAGTAACTATTTGTTGATCAAATGCCTGAAACTCTCCCTCTACATCTAACCAGGAGTCCACTAATGAATTTCTGGTGCGGGCACTAGTGTTTAGATGGCTGTGGAATACTGTAAATTACTTTACGTTTGAGACTGGATGAGGAAAAATTCAAATGTGTATGTTTGTCTAAAATGGAAACTGTCTATTGCTGTCAGAAATCCTTGGTATTAAGAGGTGTTATTTTTAGGTAAAATAAATTCAGTTGGATGGTATCAAGAGCCACTTTGTCTCATTTCTCCCTTTTGGTCTGCAGAGGGCGCTTTGCACTAAAAAATTACTGAACTGTACAAGGTTGACTAACATTTTTAGCAATTTTAATTAAATTTATTTCAAAAGCATGTTAAAAATGAAACAACTGAAAATGAAGTCGGCTCTATCTACAGTTGGAAAAACGAAACACATTGAAAAAATTTGTACCATTTTGTGCAAAACGTATGCATTTCACAGAATAAGAAAGAGAATAAAATAAATCAGGCACATGAAGCTTTACAACTCACAACCAGCATGAAACAAAAGTCAATTTTAAGATAGTGAAGCAATTTACTCAATACAGACTTTTAGTAAACCACAATAAATACACATTTCAATATATCATTCATAATAAATACTGGAAAATAAAATTGAACACAAGATTCTTAACTGGATGCAGTGCCATTGTATCTAGCCTCCTTCAACTGTATGCTTTGGCACAGCAAATATGTACTATAGGCCATGTTGATGCCACTGATTGCCTGAAAGCTGTCTGTACACTTCTTTTGTACCACAGAGGTGGCATGAGAGGTCCCAGCTACTCGGAGGTCACAAAGACCTCCAGTGCTGACCCTTTTGATTATAAAATATGGGTAGATATTTGCAAGCTCGGAAGAGGGACAAATATCTGTACTCATGCAGGAGCAAAGAGCTCAAGGTAAAGAATTTCAGCAACCTATTATAGTCATCCCGTACTATTCACTAAATTATTGCAGTCCCCCAATTGTTGAGCGGTCATTCCAAATTTCCTTTTTATCAGTGATTTTATAAAGGCGTGTTAAAAGGTTATTTACAGATCTTTTGGTAAAAAAAAATCATAGAATCCTGTTATGTCATTTTCAATGGCTCATTGAACTCAAGAGTCATATTGTGTAGCTTTTAATTACTGATATGAATCAGGTTTGATAATAATAAGCTTTGATTGTCAACCTTGGACATTTGTTTCCTCCATATACAATTATTAAAACTGTGGCATATTTTTATTGAACTAATGTTGCTTTAAGTACAATATTAAGTACCGTGACAGTCAGTTGAAAGTAATCTCAGTCCACTTTACTGAGGATTTTCTCTAGAAGGGAATTAAAAACCCTCAAACTATTGCACTAAACAACAAATTGACATCATTCTTGGATCCACATAAATAAACATCTGAATTATTAGACAGTGGAATGTAGCTTATACAACATTCAATAACAGAAATCCAGCAACCAGTTAATTTATTAAATGCTGACACATTATTTTGAATCAGTATTTTGTTTCCAGAACTGAGACTGGTTACTGATGGCTTTCAAATGAAGCCTATTATACAAATTTTATGATAAAGTTAGTGATCTATTGTCTATGATGAATCATAGAGCTTCTAATACTTTTGGAGATATGTCAAAGTGCTACTTTATTAATATCCCTGTATCTGTGAAACGCTTCTAAGAATAAATCTTAATTTGTAGTGACACCTGCAAATTACATTATTCTAAACGTGAACAGTGGAGAAAAGAACATGTGAGGGGCAATATTTTTCCACTGTTCAAGTATAAATCAGTTAAAACCAACTGCATGCCACTGGACCCCCACACTTTAAGTGCAAAAGGCTGTGAATTGATTTCTGACATTTTATGCTATTGATATTGTATTCCAAACATACAAATAAGAATTCAGGCTTTTTCATGCTTTTCAAAACCATAGAAAAGCATATAATAGTGACAAAAACAAGAAGAGAAATGTACACTATGTATACAACACATTTTTATATAAAACAATGGCATTTTTTCCCCTAGACATTACTGAGATTCCCCAAAAACAGCATGCGTATTGTTATCAAAACATTTACAATATATAAGTATACACGTAATTCAGAAACAATAAATAAACTGACAATAAACCTTTTTTGCACATTTGACACATACAGTAGACATAGAAAAGTTCCATCTACAGTACAATATCTGCTTAAAACTAGAACTTTACATCTGAAATTACAAGATACATTGCACAGCATAACATAACTGATGTTTGAAATGTTTTTTGATCTGTTCCATTTTGCAGTGAAGGAGCACGCTGTAATAGAGAAAACCTTCAGGAAACCACCAAGAGTGAATCATTCCTTGGAAACATTTTCATCATGAACCTATGGCTTTATAGTTACAGATGAGAATGTACTACGGTGCTGTAAATTGCTTTGAAATTTAATGCAAGATAATGCGAAAAGGCCATGATTATGTTCCCTTAAAATGCCACTTGGTCAAGTTAAGACGTAATAATGAAAGAACACTTCAAAAGGTGAGGCCCACTAAATGGCTGTGACCTCGGGGCAATGGTCAGGTAAAGGAAGGTTCTTAGTATTGTTTGCTAGTAAGGTCAGGTCAGAGTGTCCATTGGACTCTTGCTGTGGCTGTTCAGCTGTCAGACACGAGCTGTGGCTGCTGTAGGAACCCTGATTGTTATTGTTCAGGTAGTTTTGAAACTGTGTCTGGTTCTGGTTGTCAGGCTGCTCCACAAACGCTGCTTTGGACAACACCTTCTTCTCCTGATCAGGTGTGTAGCAGGTCAAGGGGGTGGCTGGAGCACCGTTGGTCAGAGTAAAATGGTGATTGGCTGTGTATTGGTCCTCGGCCTGATTCGAGTAGTCTGTGTACTGCTCTGCAGACATGTTGAATGGTCCTTGGGCCACGCTGCCGTTGGTCGTGCTGACTGGATCTTGGAACGCTAAGGCTTCCCCGTAGGGTTTACTGGGTTGGCTGGTTTGGCCATTAGAGACGGCACTGGAACTCCCCAGCTGATAGTACTCAGCCGAAGAAGAATTCATTAAATAAGTGTTTCCGTTCATGTGGTTATCATGCCCCACAGAGCCATCGCTGTAACACAGCACAGAAGACAAGGGGACCACCTCTGTGTGAGACACCGACGGGGTTGTCATGTCATCTGGAAAGTTCTCAGACTTCTCTTCATCGTCGTCATCCTCGTCCTCAGAGTCGCTGTTAGCTAAACTCTGGGTGCTGGAGTCAGACAGTCCGCTGCAGACGCTGCTACTGTCCTCCTCATCCTCCTCGTCTTCTTCATTCTCCTCTTCCTCCTCCTCATCATCGTCGTCTTCGTCTTCCTCGTCCTCTTCGTCATCTAGCGGCTCGTCCATCTCGTCGGCGGCCTGCAGGTGCATGCTGGCCGTCTGTGGAACAGCGTCTGACAGAGAATATTCCAACCTGTGCTGAGACTGAACTAGAGTGTTTCCGCTTCCCAGGTCGTTGGTTTCACCACGGTAACCGTTGTTGGGCGACGCCTGCTGCTGCTCACGACTCTTCTCCAGTTCGAGTTTCATTATGGTGTGCAAGAAATGGGTCCGAACACGAATGGGATTAAACTCCACCCTTCCAGTTGAATTGCTGCAGCCCTCTTTTGTGCAGCCACATGGAAATGACATCCGGTCCACCTAAGGAAAGCAAAACATTTAACTGCCCTATTAATTTCATTTCTAAACAAACAAATGACCTGTTTAATATGATAATGAAACCGAAAGATATGCCTGTCACGGTGATTTACCTGGCACTTGATCCCTGCGATGCTGCAGGCACAGGTTTCCGGGTCACAGAAGACTCGACAATCACAGCCGCAGTCCTCTCTGGACATCCGGATGGCCCGCAGTTCGTGTTTCTCTTCCACGTCAATCTTCTTTACCCCAGAGGAGCGCAGCAGTGCCCGGCGCTTTTTAGTGGTAAGAGGCTGCAGGAAGAAGTACTCGTCTACCTCTGTGTTGTCCAGATCGATGTCATCATCAGAGATGTCCTCTGCCGTGAGCGTGTTGGCCTCTTCAGACTCCACTGTGCCATTCTTGGTCAGCTGAAAACAAGAAGGAATGACATCCAAGCTATGTTATAAAAACAAGGGAACAAAGAGTGAAAGACCCATCACTAAGCTGTGTTTCAAACAAAGAATCTTTCAGACCAAATTCCTTTCAAATTCTTCACATATTTGATACGGCTATCTGCTGAATCAAATCCTTTGTACAGAAATATTTTGCTTTCCAAAGCATTTACCTTGAGTTTGATTGAGTTGAGTTTCTCCTCCTTCAGGTGATCCCTGAGCATGTCTCTGTGGATCCGCTCCTGCTCCAGGGCAAATTCACCCAGGGAGTACTGCCTGATCCAGCTGTGCCTGTTGGACATGCCCAGCGTGCTGCCTCCCTGGCTGGGCACGCTGGTGAATCCCTGCCGCCGGCTGAAGTAGTACACTGTCACATTCTCAAAATGCACCCTCCTTGTCCGCAGGCGCTTCTCTCTCTTCAATATTGAGTCAGCTGCAAAGGAAAATGGGAATGTTAAAAAAAAAATGGTACATGATATGTACCACATGTCATCTTGGTAGTAAACTGTTTTTGACAATTCATTAATCCGATGTGGAAAGAATTAAAGCTCCACACTGCGTATCACTGTGTCAAGAACACTTTGAGCACCGTTGATTTCTTTTATCATTTATAGTTCTTTCATGTTGGAGAAGAACAGTTTTATAGCCATGTAAAGCCTGTTAAGATAAGTGACATTTTTATGGCAAAATGTGGGACACAGACAGGCTGAGAGTATTGTCCTTAAATGCCTGAAATATGAGGAATTCTTTCTGCCTGGCTTTACAGCACGCTTATACATATCTTAGGAAAGCTTTGTAGGGAAGGATTTCATCACATCTCTTTGCTTCCGCTCGGCATGCGAGTCATCGGTGTGTCTTTTTAAGGGGAGCTCTACAAGAGGGAGGGGCAGAGAGGAGGGCAACGGTGGAGCATAAATAATCCCCTGCCTGGCCCAGAGATGAAGAGCGCTGGTTCACAGAAGCAGTGTTCCCAGCGTTCACCCCATATCAGACAGACAGGACAAATAGAAACCATCTGGTTCCAACAGCTCTCCACCCCACGCAAGAGGGACAATGCATTTCATTACAGATGTAGAGCTGTCAGACTGAGGGTGCCAAGCAGAGCCAGGCT